GAAATCGGGAATAAATCCCATTTTTCCATGTTTTCAACCGGGAGCCGCTAGATGGTAGCAACACCCTGGGAGAAAGCTCGGGGAAAAGGCTGGGAAAAGGGAATTTCAAGGATTTGGAGGCTCCGTTGGGCTCAGCTTCCATTGAAAATTCCTGAATTTTAAAATTCCTGAGGAGTCTTGCGCTGCTGGATTTGTCCTCCTCTCCTCATTCCCGGATTTCCCCCGTTTTTAGGGAAAATCCTCAGCTGAAATCCCAAAATTCGGGATTGAGACAATCCCAAATTCTGTGTTAGGGTCCTGATGATCTTCAGGGAATTCCTGGGATTCTTTATCCCCTTCTCCAGTTGGTTTGGAAAATCTGGATCCTCCAGGAAAGGAAAATCCCAGAATCCCATCCTCATTCTCTAGCTCCAAAATTCCCAGTGTACAAAACTCCAGGAATTCGGTTAAAATCCCTCGGCTGATTTTTATGGAATTTCTCCAGGATCGCGATTTCCAGCCCTGCTGGTTTTAGGGAAGTAAAATCCTGGAAGTCACAAATGCGGGAATTTCTCTGGATTGGGCCATTCCTGGTGCTGGGAATGTGCTGGGGAAGTTCCAGCAGAATTCCTGGAGGATGGAGATGGAAATTCCCAAATTCCCTGGATTCTGGTGTAACCTGGAGATTTAGGTTGGATTTTGGGAAAAGTTTCTTCTTCCAGAGGGTGTTGGGACTGATCCAGCTCCCCATGGAATGGGAACACTCCCAAGGCTGCCGGAGCTCCAGGAGCGTTTGGAAATGTGGAATTTTGGGATGTCTGAGCAGGGCCTGAAGTTGGATTTGGACCTGGGGGTCCCTTCCAGGATATTCCACCATCCTTTGGGAACATCCCATTACCTCATCCCATTCCTATCCCAGTCCCATTGCAGCAGGATTTGGGATCAGGGGTAACAATCCCATGGATGGAGCTCCAGGATTTGGGATGAAGATTCAGGAATGGGATGGAGCTCTGGGATTTGGGATGGAGCTCCGGGAATGGGATGGAGCTCAGGAATTGAGATGGAGCTCAGGAATGGGATGGAGCTCTGGGATTTGGGATGGAGCTCCGGCATTTGGGATGGAGCTCCAGGAATGGGATGGAGCTCAGGAATTGGGATGGAGCTCCGGGATTGGGATGAAGATCCAGGAATGGGATGAGGGGATCCAGCAGTGCCTGGGAATCCCTGACCGTTTCCAGCCCTTTTCCAGGGCCCCAGCTCCCCCCGGAATTCCCCTGGAGCCAGCTCAGCTTTTCTTCCGCTCCCCAAGCCCGGCTTTGCTGACGCTTCCCGGGAGCAAATCCAGGGAAAACAGAGCGGAAGGGAAGGCGCTGAGGAAGCAGGACTGGGGGAAAGCTGGGAAGCAGAAATGACGGGAATGCTGAGGCGGCTCCAGGAGTGTCCGGATGCCTGGGATGAGCTGGGAATTCTGCTGGAGCTGCAAAAATGATCCCGGAATGAAATTCTCCTGCTCCCTGGATCCAGGGATGGGAACAGGGAGAGCCCCCACAATTCCAGGGATTCCCAGACTTCCAGGAGTGTCTGCTGCTGGAGAATCCCTGCAATTTCACGGATTCCCGGATTTTCAGGAGCCCCCCCAGCTGCTGTCCCTGTTCCCAGGAGTTCTCTCTGTTCCGATCCATGGATCCACGGAATCCAGGGAAAATCCCACTCCCTCAGGATCCATGGTGACTTCTGGTTGTTTATCCTTGGATATGCCCGGAAAGATCCATGGGGGAAGTTGTGGAGTTTATTGGGATGCACCCCGTGCGTTCCCAACCCTTTTCCCTGGAAATAGTGGCAGCTTTTCCAACCTTTCCATGAAAATCCAGGGCATCCTGATGAAAGGAAAGGACCAAACCTTGGGAGTTTGGGAGCAGAGAATGAAACATATCTTCGGGATTTGGGAGCAGGGAAAGGATCCAAACCTTCGGGATTCAGGAGCCAGGAATGATCCAGACCTGGGGATTTGGGAGCAGGGAGCCAACCAAATTTTTGGGATTTGGGAATGGGGAATGAACCAAATCTTTGCGATTTGGGAAAAGAGAACGAACCAAATCTTCAGGATTTGGGAGCCAGGAACGATCCAAACCTTGGGGATTTGGGAGGAGGGAACCAACCAAACTTTTCGGATTTGGGATTGGGGAATGAACCAAATCTTTGGGATTGAGGAGAAGGGAACAAACCAAGCCTTCAGGATTTGGGAGAAGGGAGCAAACCAAACTTTTGGGATTTGGAAACAGGGAATGAACCAAACCTTTGGGATTTGGGAGCCAGGAACGATCGAGACCTTGGGGATTTGGGAGCAGGGAACCAATCAAACTTTTCGGATTTGGGATTTAGGATTGGGGATTGGGGAATGAACCAAACCTTTGGGATTTGGGAGAAAGGAATGAACCAAACCTTCAGGATTCGGGAGACAGGAACAAAACCTCCGGGTCTGAGCGTGGGTTTGCATTTGTCCTTTTCCCTTTATTTTCCCTTTCCCTCATCCCAAAGTCATTCCCGTGCGCTCCCGGCTCCCAGCCCGGGCGTCCTTCCCGGAAGGACAAGCCCGGGATGTCCCCGGCGTTTTTAATCTCCCAAATGCTTCCCAAAATTAATCTTGGAGAGTGCAGGAGCGGGGGAGGGAGCGCTGCCCACGCCCCGTCCTTGGCGTTCATCCCGAGGGAATGCGGGACCGGCGGGATGGGCGGGCAGGAAGGGGTTAAAGGGAAGGTGAAACACGAAACGGTGCCGGGAGAAAGGCGGGATCTGGGAAAGCTTTCCTGGGATGGAAAACAATCCAATGTCCTCTGGAAGGGCTCCAGGGCCTCGCTCCCACCCAGCCGAGAATTCTCCTCTGCGGCGGTCACGGGGAAAGGGCAGAAATGCGGGATTTGGGATGGGACAAGAGGGGTTTCCACCTTCCAAGGGGCTGGAATGCTCCAACACCTGGAATTTGCCGTGGGAAAAGCAGAAATGTGTGGGAGCACGAGCGAGAGGTGATTTCGGAGCGAGGAGTTAAACAATGATGGGCAAAAATAAGGAGGTTTTGGGATTCATGGAATTTCTCGGCTGAAACATCAAAAAAAAAAAAGGGACTCTGGGATATGCGAGACGGGAATTCCAGGGGGATGATCCCTCTGGGATGGCGCCAGGGTGGGAGAAGGAGGCTGGAGTTGGACAGGGATCAAATCTTTGGAATTTGGGAGCTGGGAAAGAACCAAACCTTTGGGATTTGGGAGAGAAGGAGCCAAACCTTCGGGATTTGGGAGCTGGGAAAGAACCAAACCTTTGGGATTTGGGAGAGAAGGAGCCAAACCTTCGGGATTTGGGAGCAGGGAACAAAACGCTCCGGGTCTGAGCGTGCGTTTGGATTTGTCCTTTTCCCTTTATTTTCTCGTTCACCCCCAGGTAATTCCGTCAGCCCCCCTGGCGCCATTCCAGAGGGATCATCCCGCTGCTGCCGGGCTGGAATTGCTGCCTCCCACATCCCAGAATCTCCTTTTTTGGGGGGTGTTTCAGCCCAGAAATTCCATGAATCCCAAAAACTCCTCGTGGTCCGACACATTCCTGCTTTTCCCATGGCAGCGAGGGGGTCCCTCAACCAGAGCCTAGGCAAGTTCCTTAATTAACGCGGCCCCGGGTTAATTAATTACTGTGCCCCCAGGTTCATTAATTAACGCAGCCTCCAAGGTTCCCTGTCCTTCGTCCGGAGGTTCCAGGCAGTGCCAGGAATCCTCCCGGCAGCGCTTTGGGACAACGTTAACCCAGGCTCTCCTAAACCACCCCGAAATTCCCCCAAAAACCTGGATTCCCCATCCCTGGAAGTGTCCAAGGCCGGGCTGGAGCAGCCTGGGATAGCGGGAGGTGGAACTGCGGGGATTTCCTTTCCCCCAGCCCCTCTGGAACTGTGGGATATGCAGCGATTTCCTGGAAAAGCTGGGAAAACGGGATGAGGGAGAGTCTGAGCTGGGAAAATCTGGGAAAAGGGGATGGTGGAGTACTGTTCCCAGAAAATCTGGGAAAAGGTGTTGGTGGAGTACTGGTCCCAGAAAATCTGGGAAAAGGGGTTGGTGGAGTACTGGTCCCAGAAAATCTGGGAAAAGGGGTTGGTGGAGTACTGGTCCCAGAAAATCTGGGAAAAGGGGTTGGTGGAGTACTGGTCCCAGAAAATCTGGGAAAAGGGAATGCTGGAGCGCTGTTGCTGCGCTCGCCTCCCCGGAGCTGCCGGCCGTGCCTAATTAGCGATGTCGAACATGCAGCGCGCTCTTGCTTCCAATTAGGCTCGGCTTAAAACGAGGCGCGGGGCTCATGTCACCGAATGTTGGCTTTAATTTCGGCCCAGCTGTGCCTAAACCCCCGGCGTCGCTTTACACAGAGATTAAATACGGAGACCTCCGCTCTGAGGAGGAGCAGGAAGGGAGAGATAAGGAGATAAGAGATACCGAGGCCAGCCCCGAACTCTGTCCCCGAAGGGCGCGGAGCGAGGTGAGGTGTCCGAGCGATGCTGGCAGAGCTTTGGGGACACCTCCCTGCGGACCCCACCTCCACCCTAAACCACCCCACCCGTGTCCGGGTCAACGTTCACCACCTGGAGCCTAAGTCAGGTCTAAATCAGGTCCTAAATCAGGGCCCGGACAGCTGGAGCCCGGGGAGATCCGGGATTTGCTGCCACCCAAACAAACACGGCCCTGTTTAAACTCCCCTGAGCAAACGAGTCCGCCCAGCTCCTCCCGGCTCTTCCTGGAGCCTCCGAGCTGCGGCTCCCGGCGGCGTCCAAGGCTTGGATCCCTCCCTGCATCCCAGGGAATGGGAAGAGGCCAAATCCAAGGGTTTGATCCCTTCCTACAAACCGAGGAGTGGGAAGAGGCCAAATCCAAGGGTTTGATCTCTTCCTGCATCCCGGGGAAAGGGAACCCTGGGTCCATGGAAGGCTTGGATTGCATAGCTCGGGCTGGGGGCTCCTTCTGCGGCTGCCAGCGCTCCCTGGGGACCCCTCAGAGCGGCGGTGGCTCCGTGTCCCCTTCGGGCAGCACCAGAACTGCGGGCAGGAGGCTCCCGTGGGGCGCCGGGAAGGGCCGCAGCTCCTTGGCCCCAAAGCGCGGCGAGACGGGGTCGGCCAGGAAGCGCAGATGGAAATCGCGGCCGAGGCAGTGGACGAGGCTGCCCAGGGCGGCGCAGCGCAGCCCGGCCGGCTCGGGCAGGGGGTGGCTGGCACAGCGGTACCACAGCCTGGCGCTGGCGCTGCACCGCGACACGGCCACATCGCTGCCACCAGCGCCGCGCCGCAGCTGAAAGCGGTACAGGAAGCCATGGGCGCTCAGCAGCTCGGCCGTCCTGTCCTTGTCGCCGATGGCCGGGCTGGTGGCCCAGCTGTCCCTGCGGGCGTCGTAGCGCAGCAGCAGCGAGCGCAGGGTGCCCCCGGTGACGTAGATGTCCCCGTCGCACGCGGTGGCCGCGTGGGCCACGGCGAAGGTGTCCCTGGGCAGGGCGGCGGCGAAGGCCCAGCGGTCCCGCCGCGGGTCGTAGCGCTCCACGGTGGCCAAGCACTCGCCCCCGATGGCGTACAGGTGGCCGTCCAGGGCCACCAGCTGGCAGTGCGGCCGCGCCTGGCTCAGGGGACAGATGTCGCGCCAGCTGTCGCCCAGGGGGTCGTAGCAGAGCACGCGGCGGGAGGGGCTCCGCTCCCGACCCCCGCCCTCCCCGCCGGGCACCACGAACAGGTAATTGAACATGGGGCACACGGCGCAGCCCCGCCCGGCCACCTCGGCCGGCAGCTGGCACAGCTGGCACCAGCGGTCCTCGTCCTCGTCGTAGTAGCAGAGGCGGCCGCGGCGGTGGCCGGGCTCGGCCGGGGGGACATCGGCCACCACCAGGCGCGGCCTCCCCCGGCTCCGCAGCGCCAGGAGCAGCTCCCGCTCGCCGGCGTTGAGGCGGCCGTAGATGTGGGGGGAGCGCAGCACCTGCAGGAGGTGCTGGCTCATCACCTGGAGAGCTTCGTCCTGCAGCCCCCGCAGCTGCCACGCCTTGGCCGAACGCAGAACCTCGGAGCAGTTCCCCAGGTGCACCTGGGCGGGTGGAGACCCTTGGGACGGCTCAGGACCCGCAGCTGGAACCTCACCGGCCATCCCGAGGGTGCTGTCGTTCCGGCCGGGGGAAGGTGTCTCGGGAGGGCTCTCCATGCTCTCCTGTGCAGCTGTGGAGGTGTCGGGACCAGGAATTCCCAAAGCTGGATTCTCCCCCTGCGTTCCGGAGCTCTGCGGCTCTGCCTGGCCGCGCTCTCCGCGGCTCTGGGATGTCCCCGTGGGGACGAAGGGCAGGGACGTCCTCCTGGACACCGTCTCGGAGATGGACTGCACGAAGTAGTCGTAGACTTTGCCCCGCAGGCCAGGCCCGGGCGAGCTGTCCCTATCCTTGTCCCCGCGCTCCGGGACGAGGTTCTCCTCCACCTGGATCTTGGCCACCGAGGAGAAGCAGTAGGAGGTGTCCGAGCCCTCCTCGCTCGCCGTCAGCAGCAGCCCCAGGCTGGAGGTGACGCTGAGGGTCCGGACTGTGCCCGCGCTGCCCTCGCTGCTCCTCCCGGCTCCAGCCGGATCCTGCTCCGTGCTCTGGGCACATCCATCCCCCTCTGTCCGGGCATGGCAAACCCCCGAGGAACGCCCGGAGCTCGGGGCAGGTGCGTCCCTGTCCCTCCCTGCGGGGCTGCGCCAGGCCCCGGCCTCGGCCCCGGGGTCGTGGGAGCCCAGCTCGCTTCCCAGCAGAATTCCTGGCTTATTTCCCAGCTCGATTCCTGCCTTGCCTCCCAGCTCCATTCTCGACTCACTTCCCAGTTTGCTTCCTGGTTCGCTTCCCTGCTCACTTCCCAGCTCCATTCCCGACTTAATTCCCAATTTATTTCCCAGCTTGTTTCCCAGTTCGATCCCCGTCTCGTCTGTCTGCTCACTTCCCGACTCATTTGCTGGCTTCGTTACCAATTTGCTTCCTGGCTTTCTTCCTGGATTATTTCCCAGCCTGGTTCCCGACTTGTTTCCTGGCTCTTTTCCCGGCTCATTTCCCGTCCAGCTCCTGGGATCAGTCCCCATCTCAACCCCTGCTTCTCTTTCTGATTTAATTCCCAGCTTCCATCCCAACTCCCTCTCTGTCCTGGCCGGACCGAGCGAGGCTTTCCTGGGAATCAACCCGAGCTCGGAACTCACCTCCTCTTCCTCCTCCTCCTCACTCCTTGGAAAACTCTGCTCCCCGCGAAGAACTGCGTGCTGCATCCCGAGGCCATTCCCAGATTTGTCCCCCCCATCCCTCCTCCTCCTCCTCACACCCCCATCCCGGTTTTCCCCATCCCGGTTTTCCCGCTGCTCTCCCGGCGGGATTTTTCCCGGGGGAGGAGAGCGGTTCCTATAGAACCTGAAGGCCAGGGACAGGAGCAGCAGCGCGGCCGCCGACAGGAGCAGCTTCCCGGGCAGCTGCATGTCCGAGTGCCAGGCCGGGGGCACCCGCTGGGGCATTTTTCCATGCGGGAATGCCGAGGAGCCGATTAATGATTTGCCGGGAGAGGCCGGAGCGCGGCGGGTTGGGACAAGGTGACTTTGAGCGGGCAGAGCTGGCAGGAGGCTTCCGGAGGAGCCGCGAATGTTTGGGATGGGCTGGGCTCCAGGGAAAGGTGCAGCCCAGGGAAACCGAGAGAGAGGCTCGGGGAAGAGCACAAAGGCAGGGAAAATATCCCCGGGGAGCTGCGTCTCCTTTGTGGTGCTTTAAAAAGGGTCACGCAACGAAAAAGGAGGGGGAAGAAAAAAAAGTTGTTTTGCCCAAAGTCTCCTCATCCCTCGGTGCTCCCGGAAAAGGGAGGGAGCAGCAGCCCGGAGCCCTTTGGGCTGATGCCGAGCAGCTGCTCCGCCGCACGGCCGGGTGACGAATTCAGCGGCTGATTCAGTGATTAATTAATTCAGTGATTAATTAATTCAGCGGCCCTCGTTTTCCACGCGCTGCCTAACGAGGGCTGACGGGACAGAGCCCCGGAGCTTGTGGGGTCTCTCGGAGCTGGTGGAAAAGGAGCTGGGGGCTTCGGGAAGGGGAAAAATCCCTGCGCTGGGGAGGAAATTGAGGCTGGAGCTCAGCTGCAGCTGTGGGCACGAGGAGAGGGGTGAAGGGATGAATAAAAGCAGGGAGAAATTCGGGATGTGAAGGGAGGGGAGTTGTCATTCCTGAGGGACGCCGCAGGGATTGGTGCCACCGTGGGGAAACTGAGGCACGGCAGGGCTGCATTATCCCCCCGGGAAGGTGCTGGTGGTGGATCTGCTCCTGGCCTGAATTCCAAAGATTCCAGGGAATTCTTGTCCCCCAAAATGCAGCAAAGCTTGGATTGTGGTGGGGGAAAGGCGGGAGCCTGGGGAATGGCATCGCTTCCCAGCACTGCCAAGGGAGCGGAATTCAAAGGGATCCAACTCAGCTCCTGCTCCCCAAGGGAACATCCGAGAGAGGCGGAAAAAAACCAAAACAAACGAGGAAAGAAAGAGCCAAACTGGGGGTGGGGGTGGGTGGAAGCTCCTGTTTTCACTCAGGGGGTCTCTCCCTGCTGGCTCCATCCCAATCCGGTGGGATCTTCCCAGGGGATGTGGGGGTGACGTGTCCCAGCCCGTGGGTGCCTGCGCTGGGGTTGGGCCTTGCCAGGGGTCTCCAGTGGGAGGTGGGAGCTCAGGAACTCATTCCCAGTGTCCTCAACTTCCTAAACCCCATCCCGATGGAGCAGCCGATCCCCACCAGGTGCTTCCGAGGTTTTGGGATGGGGTGGAGCCTCTGAACCCCCTCGGGGCAGGTTCTGCACCATCCCTGGCATCCCTGAGCGTTGAGGTGTGCCCCTGCCCAGGCTGGGACGCTGAAATTCCTGGAACAGCTGAAATTCCCATGATGGAGAGGATGGGGCTGGGTCTCCCATACCCTCCAGGGCTGCTCTCAGCTGGAGGATCCCGTCCCAAACCCCAACAATGTTTTTATATCCCTGAAAAGGATGGAAAGGGAGCACAGGAATGACACTCCCCGGGCTGGTTTGGCACTCTGGGATCCCTGCGCTCATCCCTGCTGGGAACTCGGATCCACCGATGGCCTTAGGGAATATTTGGGATGTTGTCCCCTTGTGTGGGGAAATGCAGCACGAAAGAGCTTGGGGGAATGAATTAAGACATTTGGATTAAAAGCTGGGTTTTGGAGCGTGGGCGGTGCCGTGCATCCAAAACAGCGCCAGCCAAGCTCACCCAGCCTCTCTCCTCCATCCTGTTCAGGATAGAGCCCCAAAATCCATCCCTGGGGGGCTCGGTGTGGCCAAACCCTTGGGAAAAGGAGAATTTCTCCTGCCTGGAAGCCCGGGCGGTGCCGGAGCGGAGGGAGCGGGGCCGCATGTGGAGTCTGGGCACGCGTTCCTGGACTCGGATAATTGGGAAAGGGTCTGGCGGCCGTGACCTCCTGGGCCCTTCACCGCTCCCTGCCGGGGCTTTTATCCCGCGCTGGATCTACAAAGATCCCGGAGCTCGGGAGCCGGGAAGGAGGAGGAGGATGAATTATTCATGTGCTCGGCAGCCCCGTGAACCCAGCCGGTAACGAGGGGGGAAGGCGGGGGAGGCACCGAGCGAAGCTCCCGCTGACTTTCCTGCAGGGCCGGAGCATCCCTGGCTCCTGCTATCCCAAAGAATCCATGAATTCCGCTGGATAAATCCCCATTTATCCCTGCCTGCCATGTGAGGGGAGCGAGAGAAGCAGCGCTGACGTCTCGGTGCTTGTGACTCTAATTGAGCGTAATTACCTCTTCCAAATCTGCTCAAACCTTTTTCAAAGTCCCCTGGAACTCGGGAACATCGATAACGCCGCTCCTCTGGGGTTTTCAGCTGCCGTCAGCCCCTCGCGAAGGCGCTGCGGTTGTTTTTTCTTTTTTTTTTTTTCCCGAGCTAATCAGATCTCCTCGGAAGGCTGTCAGGAGCGGATCTGTCAGCTCTCATCAATAATGGAACAACCGGAGCCGCTCCTTTCCCCTCCAGCCTCCTCCTGCATTATTCACTGCCGGCGCCTCAAACAACGGCATCGGGAATGGGGGGAAAAGGGGATTAACTGGGGTCCCCTGCTATTACTCGGAGGGGGCAGGAGGTGGAGGTGGGTCCAGCACAGCGTGGATGGTTCCCGATGGTGGGATGGAATCCTTTTGTGTCTCTCCTTTCGGAGGGAATTTGGGAAAACAGGCAGCAGCTCTGCCCAAAATGAGGAGAAACTCCCAAATCTCCTCACTCGTCTGTCTGTGCCGTCGCTGGGAATGTCCCCACCTTTGGATGATCCATCCACGCCAGAATCCCTGGGAAAAGACCTGAGCATCCCGAATCGGTGTGGATTTGGGATTGAAGGCTCACCAAGCCCGGCATTGTTCCCTTTGGTGGGATGGAATCCCTTTGTGTCTCTCATTTTGGAGGGAATTCGGGAAAACAGACACCAGTTCTGCCCCAAAATGACGAGAAAAATCCCAAATCCCCTCACTCATCTGTCTGAGGGTCCTAAACTTTGGCCAATCCGTCCACACCAGAATCCCTGGGAAAAGGGATTTTCCCAGGGATTTTTTCCCAGAGCATCCCGAATTGGGGCGGATTTGGGATGCAGACCCACCGAGCCGCTGGCTTCGGACATCCCGGCACTCCTGAAGTGGCACCGAGCGGAGCCGGTGATGGCCCCGCCACTGGAATCGCTCCTCCTCGTTTCCAAGGTTCCGGGAATGCTCCTCATTTCCACGGTTCTGGGCTAAACCCGCCACATTTGCATTTAAATGGAGCTTCCGGCGGCTGGAAATGCTCGATTTTCCAAGCGAGGAGGCCTAATGGCTGTTTAATCCTGGCGGTTGTTTAATTACGGCGGGATGAGGCCCCTGGAGCGGCTCCGATCCGTGAGGAAGGAGAGAAGGATCCATGGGAGGGGCTCTCCAGAATGTGGGGGGAAACTGAGGCACGGAGAATTCCCAAAGAAACGACGCTTCCTCTGAAAAAAATGAAGACTTTCTGCTCATCTGTGGAGTGAAAGTGCAGATCCGGTGGGATCGGGGTGCTTGGATCTCATTCTTTCGGGATGGAAGCAGAGCTGCTGATCCTCCCACACATCCCAGCTGGTCTCGATCCAAACGATAAAACTCCAGGATTTTTTTATGGGAAGGAGCTCTGGAGCTGCCGTGGGTTCGTTCAGCTCCTCTGAGGCTGGGAAAGCAGCGAGGTTGGCAACAGAGCAGGGAAGGGCTGGAATCTGCTTAATAATAATTAATCATCACGGTAATAATGATGCTTGGCACTCGTGCAGGTCTTTGGGAAGATGAGGCGCCACATGGATAATCCTCCAGGATTAAGAGTTTCGGGAGGAAAAGGCTTGGGACCACCCCATCCTTGGGATCCTTTCCCCCAGGGACATCCTGGCCCACAGCTGGATGCTCCAAAACAAGAAAAAGCAGCCTGGAAAACCTCCAGGATCGGGGCAAAACCACCTGGATTTTGCCAGGAACCACCTGGATTTTTCTAGGAGCCATCGTGCTGCAGGGTTGGCACCATCCCGGGTGGGAATGGCTGGATCTGTCCCGTTTCCATGGGGACAGCTGGCCACAATGCCCGCTGCCAACGGGACGCGCTCAAGTGTGAGCGCTGACATTTGGGGTCGGGAGCCACCTGTCACTTGTCATTCCTCAGCCAGCCCGGGACCAGTGGCACGCACGGGCCCTGGCTCCCAGCACAGCCGGAATCCCACGGGATAAACCCGGTGATCCAGGACTTTGGGGCTCCCGGCATCACCTGCGGGGCCTTGCCAGGACTGGGGACGTGTGCAGGTCCTCACCCTGGGGAGACGAGGCCTGGAGCATCTCGGGGCTGTGGGAATGCTGCACTTGGGTTTTTCCAGGGAAAATTTGGCCCTTGAATCCTGGAGTGCTCCTGCCCCCCCTTCCAAGACTTTGCAAAGAACCCGAGATGGAGGAGGGAACCCCAAGACGGAGCTGGGAACCCCGAGATGGAGCTGGGAACCCAAACACAGGTAAAACATGAATTAAGACCTTCTCCCAGGAGAGGTTTTCGTTTTTCCCTTTAATTCAATCATCTGAGGAAGCCAAGACACGGAAAGAGACCGAGACTGTCGAGAGTATAGAAAAAAAAAAAAAAGAGCGGGAGACCGGATGGCTGGAGGCAGGAACGCCGGGAGGAGCCGGGCAGAGGTGGAGGAGGAGAGGGAAGAGCAGTGAAACTTCACGTGAGCTCCAGGATCACTGTCAGGGTGAGCGCCAAAACGAATCTGAAGCCGCAGTGGCCGGGGAGTGAACCTGGAGAGGAGGAAAAAGGGATCAGGAGTTCAGGGAGCCACATCCCAGTGCTGGGGGTCAGATCAGGACGGGGGCACCGCTGGTTAGGAAGTGGATTCCTCCTGAAAATTGCCCTGGGGGTTGGGGGGGTCAGGCGGAGGTGAGGGATGGGGTGGGAGCGTCTGTGGGGCTGCTTTCGGTGTGAGGATGATCCTGAGGACACGAGAGAGGGCTGGGAATGAGGCAAGGAGAGATGGGCAAGGGCTGGGAATGAGGCAAAGAGAAATGGGTGAGGGCTGGGAATGAGGCAAGGAGAGATGGGTGAGGGCTGGGAATGAGACAAGGAGAGATGGGTGAGGGCTGGGAATGAGGCAAGGAGAGATGGAAAAGGGCTGGGACGAGTCAAGGAAGGATGGGCAAGAGCTTGGGACAAAGCAAGGAGAGATGGGAAAGGGCTTGGAGTGAGACAAGGAGAGGTGGCCCGGGGTGTGGGCCAGGGCAAGGCCAGCCCCTCTCTGCACGGCCCTTCCCTCCCCGAGCATTCCCATGGAAATCCCAAACGCCACCAGCACCACTCACCATTGGAGTCCTCTGGACCTCTGGGAATATTCGGGTTTTCTGACGGGAAACAAAGAGCAGAGACACAGTTTTAGGGGGGAGGAGGCGAGCGGGGACCCGCGGGGGGCGGGCAAGGCCGTACCAAAGACGATGAGGCGCGTGTGGGTGTCGGTGGAGCCCAGCGGGTTCTGGGCCGTGCAGCGGTACATGGAGCCGTTGAGCTCGGCCGGGACCCGCTCCAGCACCAGCTCCTTGCCGTCGTGCTCGGCGCTGCCGTCCAGCAGGCGGCTGCCCACGCGCGTCCACGTGAACAGCGGCTCCGGGAACACCTCGTTCTGCAGGGACAGGGGAGCGTGAGAGGGGAGCAAACCTGGAGATGGAATCAGCAAATCTGGCTTGGGTTGGGGTTGGGTCTGGGTCTGGGTTTAGATTTGAGTTTGGTTTGGGTTTGGGTTTGGGTTTGGATTTGGTTTTGGGTTTGGGTTTGAGTTTGGGTCTGGGTTTGGGTTTGAGCTTGAGTTTGGGTTTAGGTTTGAGTTTAGGTTTGTGCTTGGGTTTAGGTTTGGGTTTGAGTCTGAGCTTGAGTTTGGGTTTGAGCTTGGGTTTAAGTTTGAGTTTGAGTCTGAGCTTGAGTTTGGGTTTGGTTCTGACTTTGGTTTTGGATCTGACTTTGGGTTTGAGTTTGGGTTTAGGTTTGAGTCTGAGCTTGAGTTTGGGTCTGGGTCTGAGTCTGGGTTGGAGTTTGGATTTGGCTTTAGGTTTGTATTTGGAATTGGGTCTGAATTTGGGTTATGGTTTGGGTCTGAGCTTGAGTTTGGGTCTGGGTCTGAGTCTGGGTTGGAGTTTGGGTTTGAATATGGTATGAATCTGGGTTTAGGTTTAGGTTTGAGTTTGGGTTAGAAGGGACCTTTTAACTGCACCCATCCCACCCCTGCCATGGACACCTTCCCCTGTCCCAGGCTGCTCCAAGCCCCACCCAGCCTGTCCTGGGACACTTCCAGGATGGAACAGCCACAACTTCGGCCAACCCATCCCAACGCAGGGACCGTGATGCCACCAAGGCCACCAAGCCAGTCCCACAAATCCTTGGATCAAGTCTGTCCATTGGCCTGTGCTGCCACGGGAACGCTGACCTGGAAGCCCTGCACCAGGATCCGCACGGTGTCCCCCACGCGCGCCCTCGTCGGGGTCATCGTGATCTTCGGACCCTTGGGAGCCACTGCACGGGGAGGGGACAGGAGGAGCCGTCAGTGCCGCGCGGCATTGCCGGCACCGGGGCTGCCCTTGGCGGGGTTAACGAGGCTCTGATGGACGATCCCGGCCCCGAGGGGTGACAGCTCCGTGATTGATGGCCGGGCTGAGTGACACCGGAATGACGGATGGACAGGGAGGGAAGGAGCCCCCGGGCGGGAGAAGCGTGAGGCTGATGGATGGCTGGGATGGGATGGATTGATGGCAAGGAATTATTTCCCAACCCGGCCCTTCCCCGCTCGGAAAAAAATGGCCAAGAAGGATCCGGTTGGTTTGAAACCACAGAGGAGCATTCCCAAAAAACGTGGCCTTGGTGAGTCTCACCCAGGTGCCGTTAGCACAGGAGACAACCCCAAAGCCTGGCTGGCACAAAATCCCATGGACAGTATGGAAAAAAATGTGAATTCCTTTTCCCGTGCCAGGCTAGGGATGCTCCTCCACTGTAATGGAGGGACACCCCACAGGATCTGCTCCTGCTTCCACCTGGGGTTGTGCAGATGTCCCTGCTGGGCCAGAAATGGGATGGGACATCCCAGGAGCTTCCTGGACTTTCATGGAAGGAGAAGAGGAATCGGGCAGGAGTGAGGCTGTGCTTTGGGTGGTTGGTTCACCTTTGTCCATCCAAGCTTTGTCATGGATGAGACAAAATGGACCTGGACACAAGCCTGGCAGGACACAGAGGGACAAAGAGCCACCAGGGAGCTGTGGTGGAGGACACTGGAAGCCCTTGGAATGGCCACCCCTACCCTGGGATGCTCTGCCTGGACACCCCACAGACCATGGACTGCTCTTTTCATGGGGGATGCGGCCCTCTGGAGCAGGACCACGCAGGATGCGCTGAAGATGATCCCACCATGCCCTGGTTGGAACCAAAAGGCAGCTTTTGGGTTGGTGTTGGGTTTAATGGGAATATCTTGTCTTTTATTGAGAATCTATATTTTATATGTATTTATAGTGTGTATTTATACTATGGATGTGGGGAATGGGTTAAGGGGGATCTGCTGGGATGGTGCCCAAAAAATGGGTGTGGATGGACACCCCAGGAGCTGCAGAGACACCTGGGCACGAGGAGAGCCCTGGATTTGGGGGCTGAGCTTTGCCAATGCAGCTCTTGGACCTCCTGGGCAGGAGCAGCAAAGCCATGAGGTCTTGGCCTTGGATCTAAACCCAAAGAGCTCAGGAAGTGGGAAATGCAGAAATTACGTAGGTTTTGGATGCTGGGGAAGAGATTTAATGTGAAGACATCAGGAAGCCAAGGAGAAACTCTCCAGGAGATGATGAGGAGCCAAGTGCTCCACTTGGCTGGGAGCAAAGCCCAGGATGCTCCACCTGGCTCGAGGCTGGGAGAGCCTTTCCAGAAGAGTGTCCTGAGGCTGGAAAACCCCGTGGAGAACTCAGCCTCTTCCAGCGGGAGCCAGGAGAGGGGACGGGAGGGGAGCCCCAGGAAAGGTGAGAGATGGTGAAGGACCCATGGATCCCCTGGAGGAGCTTCTGCTCTTCCAGGGGCCTGGAGATGTGGGGAGCCAAATTCCCTGGATTCAGTCCCATCAACCTGTCACAGCTCCATGGGCAGGAGCCAGCTCAGGGATTCCCTTCCTGGCAATTCCCACTGGGATGAGCTTTGTGGCAGCCAGTAAGGGTAATGGGATGTCCTTGGATCTCCTGGGACTGGGATGGAGGTGACAGCTCCATTTCCATCTCCAGCACCTCCTTCCTGCTCATCCTGGGGAACAGAATTCCCCAAAAATCCTCTTTATCCCAGGAAACCCTGCCCTAAACACTGCCCATGGCTGCGGGGTGCATAAACCCCTGGGAAATCCCTTCTCCTGCCTGATGGACATCCCAGATTCCCTCGTCTCATCCCAAGTTTTGTGGAGCTTTGGTATCACCACCTCTATCCCAATGCAGCCCCATGAGATCGCCACACCTGCCTGAAAAATCCCAGAAGAAAAGGAGAAGAACAAAAGGAGAGAAAAAATGAATGCAAAGAAAGCAAAACACTTGGAATTAAAATTAAAAAACCCTAGGGAAGAGCTTAGAAAAAACAGGGGGGAGGGTGCCAAAAAAAAAGAAAAAAAAAAAAAGAAAATGAAAAAAAATGGGAGAAAAATGAGGAGGAAAAAAAAGGAAAAAAAAGCCAAAAAATTGAAAGAAAATACAAAAAATTAAAAGGAAAAAAACAATAAAAAAAGAGGGAGAAAAGGCCAAAAACAGTTAAAAAAGAAAAAAAAAAAATTTAAAAGGCCAAAAATTGGGGGGGGAGGGGAAGGGCAAAAAATGGAGAGAAAAGCCAAAAATTTCAAAGGGGAAAGAAGGCAGAAAAAAGAGCAGGCCAAAAACAGTGAAAAAAGCAAAAATTATTTTAAAAGGCCAAAAATGGGGGGGAAAGGCCAAATAATGAAGACAGAAAAGACAAAAAACGAAGACAGAAAAGCCTAAAACTGGAGAGAAAGTCCAAAAAATAAGAAGAGGAAAGCCAAAAAAAGACCAAAAAAAATTCCAAAAATGGACAAAAGTGGCAAAAATCCCCAGGAAAGCCCCGAATCGGCTCACCGAGCGTGACCTCAGACTGCATGGGCATGGAGAGCGCCGGGTGCTTGACCTCGCAGCTGAACAGGGCCTCGTTGTCGATCTGCGGGTTCAGGGTCCACGTGAGCGTGGCCCTGGCCTCGACGGTGCCGTCGCTGACGGGCGCGTGCGTGTGCCGGAAGTAGTAGATGGGCTCGGCCATGTGCACCCAGCGCGGGAATTCCCGGCTCACCACCGTCTCGGGAATGTTTTCCGTCACCGCATCGCGCTCGGCCGCCAGCCCCCGCGGTGGATCCGCCGTGGGGAAGGGGTTTCCCATTCCCAGCTCGCCGTCGGCCGCCAGCGATTTTGGCACCTTGGTGTCGTCCAGGTCGCGGTGCAGGAGGTTCCGGGGGGCCCAGCTGCTGGCGCCGGCCGGCGGCTCCGGCAGCGGGGTGGCCTCGATGGGCTCCCCGTCCCGTTTGAAGTACACCTGGAGGGGACAAAGGGGACAGTGAGTGTGGCGGGGGTGTCCCCAGAGTCCCTTTGGATGGAAATTTGTGGACACACACATTCAGAGAGCTGGGGAATTACAGCTTGGAAATTCTTTTCAGGCCTGGATTTCTCCTGACTCTCAGCTCCATTCCCAGGCTGACAAGCTGACAGCAGCTTCAGTTAGGGAGGAGTCTCCCAGGGTGAGAACATGGTGACAAACAGAGTGGAATTCATCATCAACATTAACACCTGGTGTCTTTCCCGTGGGATACATCCTGAGGTGCTGTCCCAAGGATGTTTTTCCCAATTGTCCAATGAGCTCCTGTCCTGTTCTAGCTGCACGTAACACACTTTAAATCCGGGCTGTCCGTACATTAAAGTTGGCCTTTTTTCCCCAAAGAGCTCCGTGTGTGTTGCTGTCCTTTCTCTCTCCTTGCAGTGCAGTAACCACATAAATTCTTCCCGGGGAAAGATGGGATTTGGGGAGCGGGTTTGGCCCGATGGAAGAGCACAGGGATCAGTGGATTTATGGAGGAGGTGTTTGGTTATTGCGGGTGTCAGTGGGAGGGATGATCCCACCGGGAGCTCACCAGTGGCGCAGGTTTCCCGCCAGACACCACACACACCAGGGTGAAGTTCTGTGCCTGGTAGCGGCTGAAGGGCGCCGGGGTGTCCGCAGCCAGCACCGAGATGGACGTTGGGGGAGCTGCCAGGGCACAGCCGGGAGGTCAGCATGGAGTCCTCAACAACCCCCACCCCATCTTCATCCTTCATCTTTATCCCCATCCTCCTCTTCATCCCCATCATCATCCCCATCCTCATCCTCCTCCTCATGTCCGTCCTCATCCTCATTCCCATCCTTATTCCCATTCCCATGTCCATCTTTGCTCCCATTCCTGTCCCCACCTCCAAGCCATTCCCTGTCCTAATCCCTGTCCCTATCCTTGTCCTGTCCTTCCTCCCATTCTTGGCCCATCTCCATCCTTAGCACATCCTCAAATTCATCCCCATCCTCTTCCTCCTCCTCCCTCCCCCCATCCCAATCCCTAAACCCATGGCCATCCTCCTCCCCATGCTCATCCCATTCTCCATTCTCCTTCCTATCCCCATCCCTGTCCCCATCCTTGCTCCATCCCCATCTTCTTCCCCATCCTCATTCCCATGGCATCCTCCTCCCTCTCCCCATGTTATCCTCATTATTATCCCCATTTCCATTCCCACTCCTATTTCCATTCCCATTCCTATTCCCCCTCTCATTTCCATCTCCCTTCCCATTCCAATCCTTGATCCCATTCCCATGGCCATTTTACTCCCCATGTTCATCCCATTTCCCGTTCTCCTTCCTATCCCTGTCCCTAGCCATGTCCCATCCCCAGCTTCATAACCATTCCCATCCTCATGGGGATCCTCATCCCTCTCACCACACCATCCTCACCCTCATCCCCATCCCTGTCCTTGTCCCTGTCCTTGTCTCCATTTCCATTTCCATTCCCACCTCCATCCCCATTCCCATTCCCATCCCCATTCCTACCCCGAGGATGGCAGAATGATCCCAATCCCTGCTGTTCCCACACCCTGAGACCCCGCAGTGGTTTTCCCTCAATCCCGATCCCGGTGCTCACCCATCACGTTCAGGAACACATTCCCAGAGGCCAGGACCACCTTCTCCCGCGTGGCTCGGTCGTAGATGCCCACATGGCACTCGTAGGGACCATTGTCCGAAATCCGGACCTCGGGAAGGCTGCGGAGGAGGGACAGCACTCACCATCCATCCCCACCCCATTTTCCTGTGGGATTCATCGGTCAGCACCCGGATATCGTGGCATTGGACAGGGATCAATAAAATCTTAATAACTCCAAAGCTGCGGGAGGAGCTCAGGAATGCTTTAGCAGCCGGAGTTCCCTGGCACTGACTTCTCTAAGGTGAAGGAATTGTGTTATTGGAAGAACACTTGGATGGGAGCACAAATCCATGACCATGGACCTCGCCTAGCCATGGAATGCCAATGGAAAGCCTCGGCACCGGCCCTGCCAGGCCAGCACAGCAAAGCAGAGGAGAAAAGCAGCAAATCCCAAATTCTGGGTGAACCCGGAGCACTCATCGATCCACCTGTTATCCAGAGGCTTTAGATGGACTTGGGGAAAACAGGAGAGGAGGAGTTGTGCCAAAGGATCGCTGCTGCTGGAGCTGGGAATGCTCTGGAGGCTGCACAGGAATCACCTCACTGATGGGCAGCAGCCCGGCTCCCTGGCTGGAGACATCCCGCCTTTCAGCTCCTCACAATCCCACCTTTCTGATCCTCACCATCCTCCCTTTCTGCCCCTCACCATCCCCCCTTTCTGCCCCTCACCATCCCACCTTTCTGATCCTCACCATCCCACCTTTCTGATCCTCACCATCCTCCCTTTCTGCCCCTCACCATCCCCCCTTTCTGCCCCTCACCATCCCACCTTTCTGCCCCTCACCATCTCACAGTTCTGATCCCCAGTTTCCCACTTCTCTGCTCCCCACCATCCCATCTTTCTAATCCTCACCATCCCACCTTTCTGGTCCTCAGCATCCCTTTTTTGGACCAGAGAATCCCACCTTGTTGGTCCTCAGTATCCCATTTTTCTGATCCTCACCATCCTACCTTTCTGCTCACCATCCCACTTTTCTGATCCCTAGAATCCCACTTTTCCTGTCCTCACCATCCCCCATTTATGCTCCTCACCATCCCAATTTTTTGGTTCATACCATTCCCCCTTTCTCATCCTCAGTGTCCCACTTTTTTGGTCCTCAGCATCCCAATTTTCTGGCCAACAGCATCCCACTTTTCCATTCAGCAGCACCATCCCATCCCATCCCATCCCATCCCATCCCATCCCTTCCCACAGTGCCAGTTGGCACCATTCCACCTTCCCTGCTGGCAGCACCGTCCCTCCTCACCAGCTGGGAGCATCCCACATTTCCAGCCAATATCCCACCCCACCTCTCCTGCTGGTCCCACCCCTCCTTGCTGGTCTGCAGCTTCCTACCTCCCTGGCTGGAAGCATCATCCCAACTTCTCCAGCTGGAACCATCCCACCTTCCCAGTCGGAAGCATTATCCCACCTCACTGCCTGGAACCATCCCACCTTCCCGGTTGGAAGCATTATCCCACCTCAGTGGATGCTGACATCCCGCCTGTCCAGCTGGAAGCCTCCCACCTTTCCAGCTGGCGTCACCCCACCTCCCTGCCCGGGAACATCCGGCCTTTCCAGTCGGAAGCGTTATCCCAGCTCTCCAGCTGGCATCACCCCAGTTCTCCAGCTGGAAGAATCCCGCCTTTCCAGTTGGGACCATTATCCCACTCCACCATCCAGAAGTCTTATCCTGCTTTTCCAGCAACCTTCCACCTCTCCAGCTGTCACTGCCATTCCGCTGTTGTGGAGGAGAGCATCCCAGCACCATCCCACCTTCCTGTTGGCTGAATTCCCTCTTTCCAGGAGATCCATCCTTCCTCTCCAGCTGACAGCATTCCCACTTTCCAGGAGATCCATCCCTCCTGTCCAGCACCCTCATCCCACCTCATCCATCCCATGGACAGGAGCGATTCCCTCATGGAGCACACAGGTTAAAAATCCCGCTCAGGGGAATTTTCACTTCCAGGGAGGTTCCAGCTCTGCTTTTCCCTTCTCCCAGACCCGTCTGCTTCCTGCTCCAAGGGTCCCCCAGAAGTGACCATTCCCTCCTTTCCATGGAAACACTTCCAACCCTCCACCATCTGCTCCAGCCTCCGATTATCCCCACACGGATCAGGAATCTCCTCCTAGCAGCATTTCAGAGCAGCTCTGATCCCACTCCATTGCTTTTGGAAGGATTCTTTTGGATTTGCACGTGGATTTTGGGGCCTGACCGGCTCGGTTTGGTATTCCCAAGGATGGGAGACAGGGAACAACTGGCCCTGAAAAGGCAAATGCTCGATCACAGGAGAAAACGCTTGGGAACATGGAAGAAAACGGGATTTGTAAATTCCTAAAGCAGCACCGTAGGAAGAGGATGGAATTTTAATCAAGGGAAAGGAAAAAAATACGGGATTGGAGAGGCTGGATCTGCCCCAGCTTTGCTCCTCACTGCTCAGAGCTGGGATGGAAACAGGAGGCACCGGCAGCCCCTGGGCTGCGCTGATAAGGCTGGAAAAGCACTGATAAGGAATCAGGGAAATGCTGAATGGAATGGGAAAACACTGATAAGGAACCGGAAAATGCTGATAAGGAATAGGAAACACTGATAAGGAATGGGAAAACGCTGATAAGGACTGGAAGAACCCTGATAAGGAACCAGGAAAATGCTAATAAGGAACGGGAAAACGCTGAAAAGGAGCGGGGAAAACGCAGATGTGGCCGGCTTCTCCCGGGATAACTCTCCCTGCGACAGTTCCACCCGGGATAGTGCTGATAAGGAGCGGGAAAATGTTGAAAAGGCCCAGGAAAACGCTGGTGAGGACCAAGGGTTGGAATAACGTTGATAAGGATCAAGGAACAGGATAACACTGCTGATGGACCGAGATAATGCTGATAAGGACCAAGGACCAGGAGAACTCTGATAAGGACCGGCATAACGCTGATAAGGGCCAAGGACAGGGATAACGCTGATAAGGACCAGGATAACGCTGATAAAGGACCGGGATAATGCTGATAAGGACCAAGGACTGGGATAACGCTGATAAAGGACCGGGATAATGCTGATAATGGACTGGGATAACGCTGATAAAAGACCAGGATAATGCTGATAAGGATGGCTCCTTCTCAGATAAAGCTCCTTGGGACGGCTCCAGTTGTGCCCAAAGCATGGCAAAGATTCCCGAAAAAAGCGAGAATTAATAGATGGAAAAAGAAAGGGAGAATGAACAGGAACAAAACCCTGGATTGGGAAATGCTTCCTCTATCCCCAAATCCTTCCCGGCCTTGCCACGGCTCTTCAGGAGAGCCCAAAACCAGGCAGGACCTTCCCAAGAAAAGCCAATGATTGGGAAAACCGGCTCTGGGAATGATTTCCTCCTCAGACCGGTTCCTGTTTTCAATGGAATAAGAAGGCCTTGGCATGGAAACCCTTTTTCCGGTTCCACACCTGATTTCCCGGTCATTCCCCAGTTTTTCAAGTCCCTGGTGTTGGAGCAGGGGAATTTTCTGCTCCCAAATTCCATTCGTTCTACGACATGTGGAGAAAGGCAGGAAAACGGAGCTGCTGGAGCCGAGAAGGGTGGCAGCTTTTCCTTGCCAGGTCATGGAGATATTCCCTGAGCAGGGAGGGAATGTTTGATTCCTTGTTCCCCTTCTCCAGGGATTCTCCTGATCCCTCATTCCATGCACAGGGAATATTTGATCCTTTTTCCTGCTCCAGGGATGTTCCCAATTCCTCATTCCATGCACAGGGAATGTTTGATTCCTCATCCCATGAATTCTTTCCACTGGCACAGGGAATGTTTCCATCCCATTTAATTCCCCGATGTTCCCAGTGCTCCCGGCTGGAGGTGAGCAATGGCTGAATCCCAAGGAAAGTGCTGGATTTACGCTGGAAAGGCGGCCCCAGAGTCAGGAAAGTGAAATTCCTGCGTTGAGCTGCCAAAACCTTCTCCAGACAGGAATCGTGTCAGGAACTTGTTCAGCATCCGAGGAGCAGATCAGTGGATCCAGGGAAACCAAACGTGGGGATGGAGCAAGTCTGGAGAATCTCTGGAGCATCCCCAGAGCATCCCCAGAGCATCCCTGGGCATCTCCTGAGCATCTCCTGAACATCCTCTGACTCCCCTGAGTAACTCTGGAGTAACTCCTGATCCGCTTGAACATCCACGTGAGCATCCCAAGCTTCTCTTGAACATCCCCGGAGTATCCTCTGAGTAACCCCTGAGTATCCACTGAGTGACCTCTGAGTATCCTCTGAGTAACCCTGGAGTCTCCTTGGAGTATCCCCTCAGTAACCTTGGAGTATCCTTGGAGTAACCTCTGAGTATCCTCTGAGTGGCCCCTGGGCACCCTGAGCATCTCCAGAGCACTCCCAGAGCAATCCCTGAGCATCTCCAACTTCTCCCGAGCCTCTCCTGAGCAGGGCCTGAGGATCCGCCTGATCCATCCCATAATATTCCCTCCCCATCCCTGTTTTCCCACCCTTTCCCCATTCTAAATCCACATTTATTCCCACACAGCCGCACTTTCCCTTAGGATAAAAAAATAACTCCAAACGTACCAGGGAAAACCAGCAAAAAACTCCCAAAAAATCCCAAATTCCAAAGGATTGGGAAGAATTTCTCACGGGATGAGCCAGGCCCAGCCCTTTCCAAGCTATTCTGGATATATCCCAGACTGGAGGAAATCCTGGTTTTCCCCCCCCTCACTGGCAATTTTTCTTACCCCCATGCGGGGAAAAGCGAGCCAGGAAAATCCAATCAGGAAATTCTCATTTCCCAAGGAAACGAGGTCGGAAAGAAACTGGGAGGAAGGAAAATGTCATCCCAGTTTTTTTCCCCTTGGATCAAGCCTCTCCTGACCTTTTTTCCAAGCTCCAGTGTCGGTTTAGAGCAGCTGGAATGGAGTAGGTGTGGAATCAGGAATTAACCTGGAATTCTGGAAGTGATTCCCACTTGGAATAAAAGCAAGGAGACGCTCCCGTGCCTGTTTTATAAATAAATATGGATCTGTTTTTCCCAATTTTCCCAGGCTTTGGGTTTCTCTGCCCATTCCCACCTCTAAAAATCCCCATTTCCCCCACCTTTTCCCTGAGAATCATCAGGAAAATGGAAACACCCCTTGGATGGTGGCGGGATCTGCTGGAATCCTTTCAATGGGGACAAAAATTATGGGGAAAATTCCTAAAAATCTGCATGAACAGGGAAAAGGAACTCACCGCACGGTGGATTGGTAAACGAGGTCTTCCCGCTTCCGGTAATTTTCCATCTGGGAAAAGTTGGTGGAAAACATGGCATCGAAGGTGAAGATCTTCTGCTTGATGGTGCCACCATCAGTGACCTGCGGGAAACAATCCCAGAGTCCCAAATTTGGGAATTTTGGGCCCGTTTTGGAATATTTCAAAGGGTTTTTATTCTGAGAATTTGAATAAATTTATTTCAATTTGAATAGATTTGTTTAAATTTGAATGTGTTGGATTATATTTGAATAGATTTATTTGTATTTTAATATAATTTTTAATATTTGGATATTTATTTAGATTTGAATAAATTTATTTAAACCTTAATCTTTATTAAATACTGTAAATACATTTATTTTAATATTTTATGCGGTGTATTTAAATACTTACATTAGAAATTTATTTTTGTTGGTTTTGGTTTTGGTTTTGTTTTTATATCATGATTTCCATATTTATCCATAGAATCCCAATATTTTTCAGCTTGGAATTTATGGATTTCTGATGCTCCTGCTGAGACGAAATCAAAATGCACGTTTTCAGTCCCGCTATTCCATTTTCCAGCTGGGAATTGTAATTTTTAAATAGAAAACGGCTTTTTTTAGGACTTGTTTATTCCCTGTGTCTCCCAGCTCCTCTGGATTTATCTTCCCTGCTTTTGAGGAGGAATTTTAGTGGAAAAATAAGGAGGAAAATGGGAATTTCGGGGCTAAACCAGCTCCAAACAGAAAGTGAAAATTCCCATTTTTTAAAATAAACCAGGAGCAGCAGAAGATTTTGGGATTTAATCCTCAAATCCGACATTTCCCGAAGACAAAACCCCAAATCCCCACCCAACACTTGGCCAAAATTCCACCAATAATCCCAATTTCCTCTTTTCTCGCTTTTTTGTTTATGGCAAAAAGTGGTGGAAAATGAGGGGGAAAAATCCATCACTGAAAAACTTCTTCCAATTTATTATCCCAGGCTGAGGTTTTTATGGGAAAGAAATTCCACCCTGGCACGGATGTGGGATAAAGAAAAGTGGGGAAAATGATGTGAGCTGTAAATCTCCAGCCTCTGGAAATTTCCAGGGAAGTTTCCAAGTATTTTTCCTTTTTTTTTTTTCACTTTTCTTTGTGTTTGAGGAGAAACCTGGGAGCTGCTCCAGGATGGAGAAGAGATCCAAATCCAAAGGGATTTTAGGGATTCTTTTAGGTGGGAAGCACTGGGAATGGTGGAGGATTGGGAATTTGCAGTCTTGGGATTTTCCCAGCACATCTGGACAGATGTGGGCCCAAATCCCACCCCATCCAAGGGCAGGAAAATCTGCTGGATTCACCCTCCGGGAATCTTCGCATTCCTTGGAGGTTGGGAATGGTGGGAAGAGCCCTGAGGGATTTCCAGGGAGTTAAAGGCTCCCAGGAAAAGGTCCAGCAGGAATTCTCTCTCTCCAGGGATCAGCCCTAATTCCAGCCTTTTATCCATGCCTGAGGGAACTTTTTGGGAAGAGAAACTCCATAGGAATTTGCAGCCCAACACTTACTGCTGGGAATCAAAAAAGGAGGATAATTGGGCAGCATCTCACGGTTCCTGTCCCAAGGGATATCTCCACTTCCAGGAATTTTGGAAAAAGGGGCTCAGGAACTCATTCTGAGTGCTGCTTCCTGCATTATTCATAAATCCCAGGAAAAATCCCATTCCTGACAAAACTTGGCTCTTCCAGAGGCAGCTTCTGCCTGCTGACCTCCCCTGCACAGTGACCTGAAAAAATCCTAAATTCTATTAAAATGAACATTTGCTGTTCCCAAAATCCATTAAAATGTCTGGAGCCTCCCATCAGGATGCCCAAAGGATCCGAAATCATCGGGAAGTGACGGATGTGGGATGAAGGGAGCGAGTTGGGAGCAGCTGGAAAGGGCTGGAGTTGGGATCCGGTCCAGGCTCCATGTCCCGGGGATAGATCCATGAATTCCCTTTCTGCAAGCAAACAGAAATTGCTCTGGAAAGAGGGAAAATTCCCTGGAGCAGCTGCAGCACTCTCGGTGTCCACATCAGAACCACCGGGAAGAACTCGTTATCCTGGAAAACTCTGGATTTAGGGTTTTTCCTGAACCATTCCCTGGAGAATCAAGTGGGAAAAACTCATTATCCTGGAAAACTCCTGGTTTCACTTTTTCCTGGCCCATTCCCCGGAGAATCAAACAGGAAAAACTCATTATCCCGGAAAACTCCTGGTTTCACTTTTCCCTACCCATTCCCTGGAGAATCACAATCAGTGGGAAAAGCTCCTCATCCTGGAAAATTCTGGATTTAGATTTTACCTGCTCATTCTCTGGAGAATAAACCAGGAAAACTCATTATCCTGGAAAACTCCAGATTTAGGATTTTTCCTGCCCATTCCCTGGAGAATCAACTGGGAAAAACTCTTGATCCTGGAAAACTCCTGGTTTCACTTTTTCCTGCCCATTCCTGGGAGAATCAAACAGGAAAAGCTTGTTATCTTGGAAAACTCCAGATTTACGTTTTTCCTGCCCATTGCCTGTAGAATAAACTTATCATCCTGGGAAACTCCTGGTTTCAATTTTTCCTGCCCGTTCCCTAGAGAATTGACTGAGAAAAACTCGTCATCCTGGAAAACTCTGGATTTAGGTTTTTCCTGCCCATTCCCTGAAGAATTGACCGGGAAAAACTCGTCATCCTGGAAAACTCTGGATTTAGGTTTTTCCNGAAAAACTCGTCATCCTGGAAAACTCTGGATTTAGGTTTTTCCTGCCCATTCCCTGAAGAATTGACCGGGAAAAACTCGTCATCCTGGAAAACTCCTTGTTTCACTTTTTCCTGCTCATTCCCTGCTCCCAGCAATCCCAGCTCCAGCACGGAGCTCATTCCCTTCCTGCTAATTACCCTGAGCGCCAAACTCTAATTAATGGAGGCAGAGCTCCGTGGGCTCCCCTGCATTCCCAGACATCCCAGGATTCCCACTGGGCACCGGGAGCAGCCAGGGAGTGGTGCCTGGCCCTGTCTGACCCCTCAAATCTGCCAAATCTTTGCAATTCCCAAATTCCCGTGCTCCAAGCCCAGCCCAACCCAGCACCGCTTCCCTTCCCAGTGCACGGATCCAGACTGGAGCCCCCGAGGATTTTCCCTCCCTCTCCTGCTTCCCTGTTATTTTTCCTGAGCAAAGAGAGGGCGAGTGGTGCCGCTGGCATGGGATGGAGCAGCTGGGAATATTTTTCCTTGGATTTCTCATCCTGTTCCCGCTCCCTGAACAAGGAGCAGCCTTTCCCTAATGCTCTTCTCCATTCCAGGTTTATAAATAGGGAAAGGATGGCAGGAAAAAGTGAAACCAGGAGTTTTCCAGGATAACAAGTTTTTCCCGATCAGGATCCGGGACAATCGCGGAGATGCCAGGAACCAAGGAACAGCTCCGGGTGTTCCCGGCCTCATCCCGAGCGGATTCCACCGCCCCCGTCTCCTGCCAAGGCTTTTTTGGGAGCTCTCCAGGTGCAGATCCGTGTTCACACCTGTTCCCGGCAACATCGCACCTTGCGGAGCTGTTGGGATTGTTGGATGTTAATTAACGCCTCTGCTCCTGGGATTCTGTTTATCCTGTTCCTGTTTATTCTGGGGAAAATCCCCTTTGCTCATCCCGGGAACGCTGAAATCGGCGGCGTTCCAGCGGCTCAGGGTTTCCCGCTGGGAGGAAAGGGTTTTCCCGGGGTGTTCCTCTGGGAATCCAGGGGAATTGCTGGAACTGTGGGTGCTGGGTGCAGTGTGGGGCTTCTCCACCGGGTTTCACCCATGGGATGAGGCTTCTCCACCTCAGAGTACACAGATCCCGATGGGATCACCCACCTGGGAGTTGTGGATCCATCCCAGGAGTTAGGATCCATCTCAGGAGTTATGGATCCATCCTGTGGGTTATGGATGCATCCTGGGGGTTATGGATCCATTCTATGGGTTATGGATGCATCCTGTGGATTGCAGATCCATCCCAGGGGTTCTGGATCCATCTCAGGGGTTCTGGATCCATCTCAGGGGTTATGGATTCATCCTGTGGGTTATGGATTCATCCTGTGGGTTATGGATCCATCCCAGGGGTTGTGGATCCATTAATGGGTTACGGATGCATTAATGAGTTATGGATCCATCCCGGGGTTCTGGATCCATCCATGGGTAATGGTTCCATCCCAGGGGTTCTGGATCCATCCCAGGGGTTCTGGATCCATCCCATAGATTATGGATCTATCCCAGGGGTTATTCCCAACTCCATTCCCCACCAGAGTGCCGCCATTGACTTTTCCACCTCTCTCTCTCTTTTCCCTCCCCTTTCCGCCCCTGGAGCAGCTCAGACCCCTCAGACTCCAGGAGCTCCCTCTGTTCCTGTCCAATGAATCCCGGGAAAGAGGAGCCGGGCGTGACCCCGATCCCGCGCTCCGGAGCCACATTCCCATGATTTAGGAGCGGAACAAACAGAACTCCGCAGCTCCAGCGGCTCCGCCCCGACTCTCCCGGATCCATCCATCACCTCCAGCCCCCCGGAGCTGCCACTGGAGCTTTGCAAAGCTGTGACAGTCCGGGAGTGTCACAAGACAGGGAGAAAAACGGGAGAAAACTTAAAATCAGGATGGAGTTCAGCAAATCCTGAGATGCTCCATGAGAAACCCAACTTCCCAAAACCAGGAAGCTCCCTGGGAAAGGAGCAAGAGGGAAGGAGAGGTAAAAAACCCTGGAAGAAAGGGGGGATTTGTGGGGATAAAAATAAAAGCTGGGATATTTCTGCCCTTGCCTTTCCCTGCGAGGTTTCTCGGAGCATCATTTGCTCCGGAGCAGCAGCCGCTCCCGCATCCCTCCTCGCAGGGGGGATTATGCAAATCCAGCTCCCGGGAAAGTGGGTTAATCCAACATTACCGAGTGGAAACGGGAAGGAAAAACCTGGTTGAGACGGTGGAGCCAGCAGAAAAAAATTCCTCCCTTAAAAAGAGGGGAGGCAAAGCCAATTCCAAGCTGGAATTTTGAGTTCGGGGCAGGTTTGGGGTTTTATTCCCTGCCTGAATCCCTTGTCCAGCATTTTGGGGTCCATCTATAAATAATGATGGGAAAATCCATCTCGGATTCCATGGAAATGTTCCTGTGCACACATCACATTCCCCATCCTTTCCCTATTTATAAACCTGGAACGGAGAAGAGCATTAGGGAAGGGCTGCTCCTTGTTCAGAGAGCAGGAACAGGATGGGAAATCCAAGGAAAAATATTCCCAGCTGCTCCATCCCATGCCAGCGACACCACTCGCCCTCTCTTTGCCTCTTCCAGGAGTTTTCCCTGGAAAACTTCAGGTTTTCTTGAAGAAAGCATTTATGGTTGGCAGCTTATCCCAAATTTCCTGGAGAAAGCTCAGGATTGGTGAACCTGAGGCTGGATCAAGGGTCGGGAATTATGATCCAGGAGCAGCTCCAGCCCCCAAATCCCCTTTTCCCAAATAAAACCGGCATCAATATTTACCCTTTCCGAAATAAAACTGGCCTCCCAATTCACCTTTCCAAAATAAAACCAACATCCAAACATCCCCCTTTCCCACATAAAACTGGCCTCCAAATCCTTCCTTTTTCAAATGAAACCATCCTCAAAATTCACCTTTTCCAAATTTACAGTTTCCCAAATAAAACCAGGCTCCGAATTCCCCCCTTTCTCAAATAAAACCAGGAGCTTCCCTCCTGTTCAACATCCCAAATATTTTGGGAACAGGGGAAGTTTTTTTAGAAACTCTACATGAATAGCCCCAAACTTCTCCTCAAACTCCGAATATCCCAAATTTTCCTGATTGCTCCCTTTTCCCCATCACTTTCCACCCACAAGCCCTGGGCAGAGCGGTGCCAACCTCAGCCCCAATCCAAACCCCAACCCAGCAGGGAGCCGAGCCGTCCCTAAATCCACCCTAAAACACCTGGAAAAATCCACCCGGAGCCCTCGCCATGATCCCAAATCCATCCCGCATCCTTTTCGGCCACACTTTCCCAGGCCAGCCCAGCTCCCTGGAATTGCTATTCCCATCAGCTGGAGCTCCGTCTGCTTCTCCTGCCTCATCCAGCCTTGACCTTCCGTTCCCGAGGCGCCGGAGCTCACCCGGTACCAGACGATCTCCCGCATTTTCCCGTCGGTTTTGAAGTTGCATTTCAGGGTCACGGCGTCTCCCACCACCACCGGAGGCAGGGGCTCGATGCTGACCGTCAGATAACCTGGAAAAGTTGGCAGTAAAAGGCAGGAAAAGGGAGTTGAGCTGCAGGGGACTTTGGAGCGGGGGGTTAAATCGCTGTTTTGCAGGAATTCTATGGATTAATGGCACTGTTGGATGCCAGGGAAAGCCCTGCCGATCCTGACTCCTCGCAGGGATGGATTTGGGCCGCCCTTAATGATCCCCAAAATGCCCAAATTGAAGGAAATCATTCCTGGATTTGGGAAAATCCCAGCGGCCCCCATTCCCACTGCAAATTTCCGTCCTTCTTACGGAGCCACTGGCTTTCCATCCTCTCTCCCCATTCCCTGCCCTGAGCTTCCAGAAAACTTCCCAAAACCTTCCCAAATTCCTCATTCCCGACGGGAATGGGTCCAACAGCTTCCCCCGAGGATGCAGGACCCCCACCCAGCGGTTTTCCAGCTCTTTCCCCCTCTCCCCACATCTGGATTCCGGGTCCATCCTCGCTCCAGAAGGAAAGCCGGAGCCTGGGCAGCTCTGCCCGTCCCTTTTCTCCCTCTTTTCCCTCGATTTGTTGGGAAATCGGGAGCGGGGAGCAGCCGGGGACAGCAGGGCAGGGAATTGCATTCCTGGTTTATTTTCCTGCCTTTCCTGCGGATGTTGGGAATTGATGGATTGACAGCCTGGCAAATCCCAGCCTTTCCTCGGCATCCTTCCCTGTTCGGCACCGGGACATCCCAAAATAACCCCTCACCCACTCCAAATTCCCCCTTTTTTTTTTTTTTTAGTCGCTCCTCACACAGCCGAGACAAACTCCGGGAAACAGGAACAGGTTTGGAAAGGGGGCTGGAAATCCGAGATTCCTTTGTGGAAGATACCCTGGGAGGGGAGAAGGTGAATTCCCAGGATTTTTTTTGTGCCTCCCAGGCAGTGATCCGAGGCCCAGCATTCCTTGTAAAACAACTTGGAGGTGTTTGTGCCATAAATCCCAGGCACGACCTGCGGGAGAACACGCTCCGGGAACACGTGCCGGCTGCGGCAGCAGGGCAGCGTGGCCTGGAATATTGAACACCGGGAAAAAAACCGGAAAATCCCGTTTTTGTGCTGCTTTTGGGGGGCTGCGGGAACAGCTCTGCACAGGGAAATAAGGGGAGGGAAAGTGGATTTTTGGGAATGTTTGGGGGTAGGGCTGAGGATTAAATCCCTTTTCAGCCACAAGTGATGTTTGGAATGAGGGGAATTTTGATGTTGCATCCCGAAATCCTGGTTTTCTTCTCTAGGAGCAACCCAAACCCTGCCCAGTATCCCCGGTCCGCCTGGGGCCGGCGCCTTTCCAGCCTCTCCCTGCCTGCCCAGGGTTTATTTCTGTTCCTAAATCGGGGATTAAATCCCTGCCATTGCCAAGACTGCACGAGGGCCCCTTGGATTCGGGGCTCTGAGGATGGAAAAGGCAGGAATGGGAGGAGGAGGAGAGAGGGAGGAAGGGCAGCCGAGGTCTCTCCGGCTGCCCCGATTCCCCTCGCTCGGCTTTTGACATTTCCGAACGCCGGGATGAGCAACAGGCGCGGAGAAGCGGCGGGGGATGAGCAAATCCTTGGCAGCGCGGCAGGATCCGCCCCAAGGAAACGGGGATGGAGGCTCCGTGCGTGCGGGGAAGCTCTGCCTTCCCTCGGAGCCTCCGCTGGGATCGCAGCTCCCGCCTGCCCCCGGATCAGCGGGAGATTAAAGGGAGCCGGGGAGGAAGCGGCAAAGCTGGAGAAAAAATCGGATTTTCCCTCCTGTCCATGGGAGGTGGAGATCCAGGAGCTTCCAGAGCGGCATTTCCAGATGTTTTCCAGCCCTCTTCCCACACCATTCCCTTCTAGACCAGCGAACTTCCATGGGAGACAGAACCATCCCCATTCCAGTCCAACCTCAGTGGGAATTGCATTTTCCCTCCTTTCCACGGGATCCAGGAGCTCCCAGTGCAGCATTTCCAGATGTTTTCCATCCCTCTTCCCACACTGTTCCCTTCCAGACCCATGCACTGCCATGGGAAGAGGAACCATCCCCATCCCAGACCAGAGCAAAGACTGGATTTTCACTCTGGTCCACAGGATCCAGGAGTTCCCAGTGCAGCATTTCCAGAGGTTTCCCAGCCCTCTTCCCACGTTATTCCCTTCCAGACTGTGCATTTCCATGGGAATGGGATCCATCCCAGTACAACCAGAGCAAAGACTGGATTTTTCCTCCTGTCTACGGGATCCAGGAATTCCCAGTGCAGCATTTCCAGAGGTTTTCCATCCCCCTTCCCACACTGTTCCCTTCCAAACCCATGCAATTCCCATGCCATGGGAAAGGGATCCATCCCCATCTCAGTCCAGCCAAGGCTTTTGGTGGTGTTTGGACCATTCCCTGATTTTTGGTGGATTTTTAAAGTCAAAAAGAGCCAAGTTTGGGACAGCCCCAGCCACTCCCATGCAGCAAATCCATCCATCCAAGCATTTTTTCCAAGGAAATCCCCCTCCAAACCCTTCTCTGACCTGCATCTTCTGGGCGGCAGAAAACCCCAAATGGGAATTTTTTCCCCCCTCTGTTCCCTCAATGCGCTAGAAAATCACTCAGAGCTGTCACTGGGAGCAGCTTCCACCTCTATTCCAGGGAATTTCGGCTTGGCAGAACCTAAAATCCAGACATTTGGTCCCTGAAAACAGCAGGGTGGAACCACAGGATGCTCCCGAGCTTTTCCTGCATGGAAAAGACAAAGCTCTGGAGCTCCAGGATTTATTGCTCCGGTGATCCTCATCCCACGGAGAGCTGATGCCAGAGCCCCCAGCTGGGCCTGGGAGGGGAGGGAAAAATCCAAATGTTCCAAGAGCATCCCTGCTCAAATCCAGTGCAAAACCAGCCCAGAAGTTGTAGAAAAGAAGGAGACAAGAGGGAGAGGGAAACAGATGCCGAGTCCCCACAGGAGCCGGCCAAGGATGCGTGGAGGGGAGGGGGAAAACTGGGAAAACAAAGGCAGGCACTGGAAAATAAAACAGGAATCCAGATGGAGCCGTCCAGACCCCGCTGCTTGGCTGTGGCTGACGTGCGAATCCCATCCCTCATCCTCCCCTTCCCTTCACTCTCCGACAGGGAACAACTGCGAGGTGTCAGCACCGCTCCCAAGCCTCCCTCGGCTCCTTTTTTTTCGGGATTTACTGAGGAGAACAAAGCGGCGGTGACGGGAACGGCTGGGTGGGAAGAACTCTTCCGAAAAGGGCTCCAAAGGAGAGCCCATCCCAAATTTCTGCCATCCCTCTCCTTATCAGCATCCCTTTATCAGCGGCTCCTTCTCCGCCTCGCTCCGCTTCCCCTTTGCTCTTTTCAATCCGAGATTTTCCAGAGAAAGCCGGGCCGGGCCTCCCCCGGATCGGATTCAGCCCTCTGGAAATTCATCCCTCTGATTAGATGGCAACCCTGGGGAGGAGAGGATATTTTTGCTGGCAATCACTGGGAATTCTGGCACCGTCCAGTTAAAGGGGGATTTTAAAAAAAGGGAAAAGGGAAGGGGGGGGAGGAGAGGGGGAAGGGAGGGATAAAGGAAATGTCCTTTGAAATGGGAATGACGCGTTCATAAAGGAGAACATCGGAACAAACTCGGTGCTTCCAATTACAAAAGAGCTCCCAGGGATGAGGCAGGAATTGCTCCAGCCCTGGAAGTGCAGGATGCTGGATAAAAACCCCGTTCCAGCCCTTCCCAACATTCCACAGGGATTTCTGCCCACAAAGACAGCCGGACACTCCGTGGGAATGGCCAGGGTTGAAGCACAAGGGGCTGGAATCCCTCAGAGGTTCCTGGGGAGGAGGAGAGGGAGGGAATGGATTGGGCCTGTCCCAAGGAAAGGCCTTGGAGTGATGGAGCCTTCCAAGGAATCCCAGCACCACAAGGAGCCCCTTCCACATCTTCCCCAGGTGCCTGATTCCTTCCAACCCACATGGAAATCCAAGATTTATTTATGGAGGTTGCCCAGGGCTCCCATTCCCAGATTTCTCATTTCCCACCGCTTCCCAAAAATCTGACTTCAAACCAATGGAATTCTGGAATTGGATTGGAAGGGATCTTAAAGCTCATCCCATTCCATTGGCAGGGACTCCTTCCACTATCCCAGGCTGCTCCAAGCTTGGACAAATCCTGGGATAGGGAAGCCCCAGATGAAGGTGGATTTTCCCCCTTTCCATGTACCCAAAGTCCAACCCGTTCACATCCTTTTAGGAATGGTCCTTGGAAGCAGCAGCATCCTGGGAGCCCGGGATGCAGCCAGAGGAGGGGATTCTTGGGATCCAGCATCTCCATTGCCCTCTGGAATGTCCCCAGCATCCTCAAGGAGCTGGTGACAACATGAACACCTCATCGTTTTAATTAGCCAGTGATTAATGGGGCTTATCCATAATTCCCTCCCATTTCTCCACCTCCCTTTTCCAAGCTGGGGCACGGATGGGAAAATCAGGAGGGAAGAGGAAAACAAACACCAGCACTCCCTGAACCGGCGGATATCCCACAGTTCCCAGGATTTAAGGAGAGCGGGAGACATTTTGCCCCTCGAGGTGGAATTTAAAGGGGTGCACCCCCCCTGGAAAAAGCTGGGAGTGCTCCTGCAAATTCCTGCCCGGAGGGGAATGTCCACAGGGGTGGTGGATCCCAGGATGGCACCCCCGGATCCGCCGGAACCGAGCGCGCCCTGACCGGCGGCGCTTTGCAACATCTTGTCCATGAAAAATTCAGCAGCTCCAATTGTTCCTGGGAACGCAGCAAATTCCTTCCCGCTCCCTTCCCATGCCTTATTTATGACATTCCAGGACGATTTACAGTCGGAATATGACGCTGCCTCTCCTTGTTAACCCGGGAGGGCTCCAAGGGTGAAGAATTCCCGGCTGGCCCCATCGGGAGAGCTGGAATTTTGCTGAATCCGGAGCTTTTCCACCTGGAAAGCTGCGCTGGGATTTTATGTTATATTGAAACGGGAATAAGCGTTTGGCACGGGTTTAACACCAGCCCGGGAATGGGATGTGACAGCTGGA